GACAGTCGCCGACGGCGCGCCGTCTCCTCTCGGCGTCTCTCGTTAATCGCGCGACCGGCGGCTTCCACCGGCGGCGCCTGCACTTTCCGGCCGACTAGATGGTGTCTCGCGCGGCGACGACGGCCGGCCAGATCTCTCACGCCTCTCTCGCTCTTTTACCTTTCGAGGGGACGATGACGACGCCGGCACGCCACACGCCACGTCAACGTCACGGCAGCAGCGGCGGAGCGAGCACGACGATGACGCGAGCGCGCTCGCCTCGAGTTCGCCAGCCAACTGGCTGCACCTGCGACGTCGGCAACTACCCCCCTCCTGCCTCTCTCTCTCTCTCGCTCTCAGCAACCCCCGGCCGCGCGTCGCTTCTGCAGTCGCACGAGCCGACGCGAAAGCAGCTACGCCCATTGGCCACGACCACCGTTGCTGACGCTGTACGCCAACGTTGGATTGGACAGGATCAGGACACACGGGCGTAGCCAACACGGAGCGCCGCCAGACATGGCCGTGGAATGGCTGCGGAGCAACGTTCAAACTTGGAGAGGCGCTTCTGTCGTTGCTACTGCTGCTTCTGCCGCCGCCGCTGCTGCTGCCGCTGGCTGGCTGCTGTTGTTGTTGCTGGAAATAGGCTGGTGGTGCCGCCGCCGCCGCTGACGCCGCCGCCGTCGCCTGCTTCTCTTCTCGTCTGACACGCTATCGATCCCGCTTCGCGGGAGACGAGAGGGTAGACTGCCTCGCGAAATGCCACAGGTTTCAGGGAATCTTTACCTTTCGCGCCCGCGAAGTGTGTTCCTCCTCCTCCCCCTCTTCCACCTTCTCCTTCCTTCTATCTCTCGCGCTCTCCGCCCACCGCGACTCGCCGCGCCGCTTCCACTTTGCCGTTCTATCTGCTTCTCTGCATCTCTACGTGTCTCCCTCTCTTTCTCACTCTCTCTCTCTCTCCTTCGCTTCTGTATCTAGGAGCAATTCGTTGTCTTCCTCCACCAGACCTGGCGGTATCGCCCTTTCGCGTATGAACACGTATATCGGTGCTGACCAATTCTCTTCCCTGCGCTTTCTTTCGACGCGAAAGTCACCTATCAGTGACTCCCCTTTTCCGTTCTACCTCCATCAGCTTACCCTCTTTGTCGCTTTTTAAATATTTTCGCGTCTTCCTCTTCCCGATACAATGTTCTCCTTTCACTTACGATACGTAGCAACGTATGTATCCTCCTGCTTTTCGTCCATCTGTCACTGACCCGCTTGTTCTCTCTCTCTCTCTCTCTCCTTCTTCTATCTGCCACATCTACTTCATCAGCTTCTCTACATTTCTCTCCTCAGCAATCTTCTTGTCCTCGTCAGTCATCTTGTCGCTTCACTCTTCTGCCCTGTCTCCCTTTTCCTTCCACAGGAGCCCGCGAAGTTCACCTTTATCCTTTCCTTTTATCATCCCGTCGTCCTTCCTTCCTCCCTTTTCAGCCGCTTCTTTGTCCTCCTCCTCCTCCTCTGCCTGTCGATCGCGCCGTTCTTTCGCGTACCGCCTTCCTCTTGCTTCCTTGATCGTCATCCAACATCTCTCCACTCTCCCTTTTTTTCTTCTTCATTCTATCTTCTGTATCTACCCCGTCATCATCTCTTCTCTTCTCCTCCTTCTCTTCTCTCGCCTGTCCTCTTCCCTACTTTCTTCTCTTTCATCTGGCACTACGTTAGCCCACCATTCCTCCCGAATCGTTTCCTCCTCATCTATATTCTCCTCCGGCCTTCCTCGGTCTTCTTCTTTTATTTCATACCTTCAAACTTTTTTCTCCCACCTTCCACCGTGTTTTCCACCATATTCCACGTGACTCTGCCTTCCTCCGCTGTTTCACATCATATCTTCTTCTCTCGCTATACGCGCGTCGGTACGAAGCGTGCGCGAACGTTTTAACTCGCGAAATACAACGCGTTATCAGGGGGAGGNGCCTTGCGCGAGCACTAAACCGACACCACGCGCTCCTTTCTATCGATTAAAGGACTCGACGTACCATTAACCGAGTGGCCGAATGCTGCTGCGACAGCCTCCTCTCGCGGAGCGAATCCCGACTCCACAGAGTCGAACGACGGACGGTCGTGTTTATTTTAATATCGTGCAGCAATTGATCAATTCATCAACGGTAAAAATTTGTCAAACACGCCGTTTGCCAAATAGATTAAAGCTGACGCGCACCATCCATTTTCTTTTCATTTCCTATCAAACGAAGGATTAACCTTCATTAACGTTTATAGGATTCCACCCTCTGTGATCTGTGAGAAGAAGAAAAAGGTTGCATCGCGCGCTCCACATTTTCATTATACCCCCGACTAGTTTTACAGGTAGAAATTTTTGATGATTATTGGGAACTGTATGAATATTGAGCGGAGTTTAAAGCCGTATCAGACTACAGAGGGCTGAGCAGCCTCGCGGGACACCCGTTACGATTCGCTTCAGCCGTAGCCGCGGGTCAGCATCGCGGAGGTATTTCACGCGAATCTGAGATAAACCGGCGGCGGTCGCGCCGTCATCTTCCCTTTGCCGCGTTTCGTCCGTCTTCTTAATCAGGTCCAGCGCGACTTAATGGGCGCCTCTCTCTCTTCCTTTTTCTTTCGTACGACCGTAATTCGCCATAATTAGCCGTAAAGAAGTGGCTTCTATAAATTATATTGTTGCGCTCGGTTAAGCTTATTACGAGGGTCGAGGGCGACGGACTACCGAAAAGCTAATTCGAGATTATTACGGGCTCCCGTGAAAAATCGCCCGCCATTTAGCGGTGCCAATTCGTAACGGCGGGACAAACATCGACCCGGTTGTCGCATCCTCGTTTCTTGCCGACCGGGATCCGTCGCCGGTGAAGGGGCAGGTCAGGGGCGAGAACGGAGAGTCTAATTTCGAAATTTCTCGGAAAAAAGAATTGCCGCTAAAATTTCCGGAGATTCACCATTACATTGCACAATTTGCCGCGCTAAATCGAGATCGTGTGAATCGCTTTTAATTCTGCGGCAAGCGGCCTTTAATATTAATCGCAAAAGACCTCGCGTGCGTGCGCGCGCACGCACGCACGCACGCACACCACAATGTGGAGTGTGTCGCGCCCCCCCCCGAAATGAAATCCGGGCAAAGAATTCAGGACTTGATATCGGCTCTCTTTTTCCTTTTTTTTAATGTTTCACTGAATTCCACGATTATAGTAACAGCGGGCGGTTGTGCTCGGGTAGATTGAGTCATAATTAAAAACTCGCCCAAAGAGGGTATATACTGATTGGACGCGGTGTAACTACTTCCTGGATCTCCCGGGATACTTAGTGAAGCGAGTTGAAGCTGAGTGGAACGATAGCCGGTACGGAATAAGGCTTTAATTGAAAATCCAAATCATCCGCCGATTCGCTCGCCATTTCTATGCAATTAGCGTGTGATCGCGCCGTAACCGTCCATACGACTGATTTATCTATTCCAGCAGTATAAATGGCATTAAGTGTTAACTACCGGCCGAGAACAATCGGGACGAGCAACCGGGGGAAGAGAAATCGAAACGATCAGCGATAAGAAGTAACGCGCTTTTGTTTCAAGCGCGAATCCACTCGCCCATTCTCATTTTCACCCTCGGTACTTTCACGGTCACCCGGCACGTAACGCGCGTACGTGCGTGCGTACTGCGTTGCAGCGATTCTAATGCAATTCGCGTGTTACTGCAAAAAAAAGCGGAGGCTGTCGGAACGGCTCGAGGATTAATAACGTCTAACGGGCGGGCAATCGTAGCTCGGGGGGGGGGGGGG